TTGTTTGCTCTTAGACTCCAAATGTGTTATTTCATTGAAATGTATGCTATGTTATTTGGCTAGTTAAACAACTGCAAGCACGTCATTGTTGTCTCCTACAACAGATCAGTGTCAGGAACCCCAGACAAGGGCCTTCTATCAAATTGGAGAGTCATGGGACAAAGTCATCCATGGCATCCACTATCGCTGTTATTGCTACGGCAATGGGATTGGAGAAATGAGGTGTGAACCCCAGCAGAATTACCAAGGTGGGAAACATTTATTCTACTACATATTCTACTCCTCATGATCATTCTCACCCATTGCTTAAAATTAAAAAAGGACTTGTACAATGTCAAACTTTATACTGTAGCTCTCATTCTCAAGTCCCACCAGACCAAAATATTTTTGTAGAGGTCTGACCAGCACCAATGAAAGAGAGAGAGAGATGCCAATAAAGGTGGGCGGATAAATAGCGGTGAGCATAGTACTCAGGTGTTATGCCACACTGTGAACTGGTGCTTTGGTTGTGCCAAAGTGTCACAGAAGCCATCTTTCACCCACACCAAACCACAGCTGCAGTACTGTAACACCATCATGTTAACGTACTGGATGTCGCCTCCAGCTTCTTCTTTCTCTCATCGAGTCTCGCTGCAACTTTCCAGGTGGCCACAGGCCAGTCCAAGTCATCATCACGGAGGCGGGTAAACAGCCAGACTCGCACCCCATCCAGTGGAACCCGCCCTCATCTGTTCAGATCACGCAATACATCCTCAAGTGGAAGATTGTGAGTCACAATAGCGACTCACTGTCTCACTGATACTCATGATTTGTATATTCATTGTCTTTTTACTCTGCTCCCTTATTGGTTTCAGTACTACATTAGGGTAGCCAGCCATCCATTTTCTATTAGCGCTTGTCTTCGTTGGGGTTGTTTGAAATGGACCCGATCCTAGCTGATATTTAGCCAAAGGTGGGGTTTACCCGGGACGAGTCGCCAGCCAAACGCAGGGCACATACGAGGATAGACAAACAACCATTCACACTCACATTCACACCT